GATGAGTGCAGTTATGCCAGAGAAACGCACTTGCCTTTAAATCTCCTACTTAAAAAAGGATTAAGAGCGCTCTCTTCATGTTGTCTTCCACCCAGGAGACCGTTTTTCTTCTAAGATGGATCAACTTCCTACACCTTTTTTTTTCAGGGTATCTGCTCCTTTCTCATCAAGCAGCACATTAAGTGCTTAGTGGATTCTGTTGGAAGAGTGTCACGTTTAAAATCACAACATCTAATGGATGTTTAAAAGCACAGTCTACTTAGCATTTGAGAACAAAAGCCAGAGAGCAGTGATATAAATAAAAGCTGTTTTCATCCCTTCCCATACAACAAACACACCATTTTCCCTCTTCCGAGGCATCCTCATAAAAGAGCTTTTCTCAGGTTATAGAGTTGAAAGTGCTGAAATAATTTTTAAAAGAAATAAATTGTACATCAGAAGTATAGAATATAACATAGGATACAAATAATCCTGAGTCCTTATGTAATAAAATGTTAAAATGAGTATAGGAATAGAAATGCACACTTCAAAGAAAATTTCAGACCAATACACCATTTATTGTAACTACTTTATATTAAAATATCCATGATATTCTAAATTTATTTATTTTATATAAATATTTTATAAAAATGGTCAATGAGACTTCCACTTATAGCAGACTAGATACCCCAGGTGACTTTGACCTTCTTTATCACAACAATGAAAGTGCTGGAAGATGGAAGCTGGGAAGGAGACCCAGATAGATGGGTGGCAGGTGGTGGTGCCATGTAGTGGAGTGGGCGCAGAGAAGCCATCTGCAGAGGTCGAATGAAAGGAAAGCAGAGACCTGGGAAATGAGCAAGCAGCAATGTTGCCTTTGCCTGGGGAATTCATCAGGAACCTGGAGGCCTTGAGCTTTGCCTTAATGTGAAGCAAGAGAGGAAACTTAGACCTGCCCAGCGTGTGTAGTCTCATACAGCTGAAACCCTAAGGGAGTAAAGCCACTGTCCAGGTAGGAAATACATTGACTTCAATTTTGGTCCCATCTACATGGGGGTAAACCTCCCTGGAAAACGTGCAGCTTCACACACTTTACAGACAAAGACACAGC